ATGTATACCTCAGGATTGAGGCAGGGACCAAAGACTTTCATTCAGCCAGTTGATTCACAGCTGACATGCAAGTGTAGGTTCTGATACAGCAGAGGACAAGCTTGAATAAGGAAGGTGTGAGTGAGCCAGGACAGTGAGTGCAGAGGGAGCATAGCAATTTAGACAAAGATTATTAACTTGATAAATATCGATAAGCAGTGGCAGAGGAAGTCTCAATGCACTCTGATTAAACTGCTCTTGGGTGGAATGTGTCCATTAGTGCACTCTAATTGTGCCTAATCGTCCCCTACTGAGAGAAAGTCCATTCAGCAGAAGAGTTAATATGGATGGCTGGTTGTTCAGGTTGTTCATATCACTGGCCTATAAAAATAAAAGCTGTAAATAAATCAATTAATAATGTGTGTGTTATGTGCACAGCGCTGTTGAATGCTTGATTCTGATTGGTCAGGTGTTGATTTTCTACAACAGCATGGCTTGCACAATAATTCCTCTGTTTCTCAGTAACATGACAAGCTGCATTTTTTTGTTCAAGAGAAAGAAACAAAGCAGGGCTGGTGAGGGAATGACTATTTACAGCTGTTAGAATGCAAGAACTAACAGGAACTAACTTGTTTCTCAGATGTTCCACAATATTAAATGCAACTATAAATGGATAAAATGCATGTCATTCTTTAATAAAAAAAATAAAAACGTAATAGTTGGTAAATCGCTGTGGTATAAGAGGAGTAAAACACTTTGGAACATGCAGTTATTGGACAATAATCAACTTTTGGGTGGTAACAGTAACACCACTTGTTGGCCTGCACCACTTCACGTTGCCGTTAATCATAATAGCACATGTTTTGTGTCTTATTCCTTAAATTATTAAATAAAACACATCAGACAGAAAGTCTGGCTAACAGGGAATTCTTGAAATTCGCTACTAGATGTAATGGCTTGTCATTTGAAGTCATGTGGTCAAGATGGTGTGACTATGTTTAAGGCCAAAATAATCAGCAATTCAACTACAGCACCCTGCACTTGTTAATCAGAGGCTGTGCTTGCTATTTGCATACATTTGTTGTAATCATTACAATCTGTTTTGATTTCAGAGTAATCACTGGCAGTCCCAATCAGCAAACACTGCAATAATAGATCTTCTCATGCCTTTGCAGCACAGACTCAGACTCGAGCGATTCCTCTATAGGCGAGACTGAGAGAGCAGTGGATTTCTCTGACCAGAAAAGGTCTTCAGCACAATTTTTTTCCCCCCTCAGATTCAAATTCATCTGTGAAATCCAAATCCAACCCATGAGAATTCCATGAAAATGGGTTCACCAAACATTACATGTGACTTAATCACGCATTCCTCTCTCTGAAGAGTACGCTCTGACATCTGCCACCAATATCTGCAGCTATGCTTTTCCAAGTGCTTGCCTCTACTGATCTCAAACATACGGACCGTGCATTGCTGAAACTGAGGTCGGACCCTGGGCTAGGTGGATCAACCAAATCGACAAGAGTGTGTCTGAATTGGCTACAATGAGTACTGTTTCCCCTTCTCAGAGGCTCTTGATACAGATATTTGCTACTTTTGAGACAAGCACAGCTCAGCATTGGTTAAGAATGAACCTCGTCTCTATCTGCTCACTCTCAATGCGAGTGCTGACACCTATTGGTGAAAAAAGGATTTCCGTCTCCTGTTCTGTCAATTTTTGCTTTCATTTAAATTCACATTAGCAATACAGAGGCTTAGCAGCTTTAGTAACACAGGGTTCTAACACACAGTTCACCATGCACTCTGTTTCAACACCTCCGCTTAGATACAAATAAGCAAGCAGGCTCAATCATGGGCTTAGAAACACAGTAAATAAATTCACAGCATAGGGTGAAATCACACCTTCTGCAATGCGAGCATTGTAACACCACTGCTGGGTGGCAATCAAAAAGCCTAACTCAAACATCAAACAATCATTTCATTCTCCATAGCAAATAACATCCTTGCAAAACAAAGTAGCATAATGCATAATGGAGGCAGATGCTAGTCCTTGGCTTCTCCATGTTTATTTTGCACAAATATAAAATAGTATTATCTGTGTGCACCTTGAAACATTCATTCATAGCATTAACTCATTTAGCCAATCGATGGTCGTGACAACACGACAAATCAAGAACAAAATTCTGTACTGTGTCTAGTGAAGGCAGATATTCTGTCAACAATGATTTATTAGCACCTGCTGCTCACACCGTTCTTAAATCAATGTTTGCTGGGACAGAGAAAGCTTCGTAGTTCTTGTTAAACAAATGCATTTCCAATCCAGCTAATTTCTCAGGTAAAACTCAGGATTTTTAATTAACTCCGTTAAATGTTTGAGGCATCAAAATCGGAAAATTGAAATCACTATTCATATATTCCTTATGGCATAGGTTGACATGAAGTCAGTGAGAAAATAATAAAAGAAAAGCATCTGGCACCATTTTAATGCAAGTTACAATACAAGTTAGAGGTGCGCATTGGGACTGTCAAAGACAATCACATACGGGGCATTGAGAGAGGAAATTTCAACTGCAGTAGAAAAATGATATTATGCCCCGTATTATACAGTAGGTGATATTATTATTATTGATATTATTCCCTCCCCTAGGGTTTACCTGAATATCAATTCGTTAACTCTTACAGATATTTGAATATTAAAAATCTAGTCAGAAGGCATACCTCTAATTAAAACATAAGACTACAAACTTGTCCGATATACAAGACCGCTAAATAAATTTCTATAACAGCAATGAGAGTCAAACTTTTTCAGCTGCGAGTTCTTTCTAATATGGCCAAGAACAATAGGACAGAGTTTATACAGAGCAAATACACACTCGTTTTTGCTGAGAGCAGGTGTTCCTGCTCTCAGCAAAACAGAGCTTCCCTACTAGCTTTTATGTAAGGCAAGAAAGGCTTAAAGGACTAAAGCAACTTTATGCATATGAAATTTAATCCACATCGATTCCAGTGGTCTGTAGCAGCAATGTTTCAATATCAGACATGCAACACTTCAATAAACCCCAAAATCCAAATATATCATTAACAAATATGATTTTATGAGTAATTACAAAAAGGGGTGTGATGTCTATGGCTATGGATCATATGGAATAAATGAATTCAGAGATGCAATAGGAAATATTTAGCATTTAGGTCTAATGAAATCCTTGTACAGTACAGTATTGCACATTAGTGGTAGGAAATGGGCAGAAATGAGACACCAGTAGAAATGTGTCAACTGGGTTCCCAATACTGTGTCTACCACAGCTGAGCTTATCTACTGAGGCATGTCACGTGTTTGTCTTAAAACGTGTTAGGTTAAAAAAAAAAAGAAGAATAAAGTGTCTTAATAAATGTCTGTTTTCAATATCATCGTTTTATTACTTTTACATTTTATTACGTTACTCCTGAAGAAATTCTCATTTCATGCAGTCAGTTTCTTTTCGGTGATAAGTAAATGACTAAGGAGTAAAACATGAAAGGGCATGCTGTAACAGGCAAATAATCCACGACAGGGTGGTGTGATGCAGCCTGATGCAAAGCGAAAGGCTGATTCCACTCAGAAGTTGATTCTTTTCAAATAACAGCACGTCCCGAAGTGGTTTTATTCCTCTTATAACACAGCAATTTGCCAAGAAATAAATGTTTTTCTTCATTAGACAGTGACACAACATACTTGACTGTTACATTTAATGTTGTGGAATGTCTGAGAAACAAGTTAGTCAGTGTTATCATTGTATAGCAGCTATACACAATCATTTGCTCACTTTCTTGGTTATTCAGACAAAAATGCAGCCTATCACAACGAAGCCACAAAGTGCAGTGAAGTTTTTTCCTGTGGTGTAAAACTTAAAGGAACAAGTTCACCCCAGAATACTACAAAGCTGGACACTTGACACTGGACACTCCTTCCATTAATATTAAATAAATGTCTCCAAGCTTCACCATATCGACTATCATACATTTTTCTTTTTTAAATATCAAAATTTTCATTCGTTTATTATTAGGTTTAGATTATCAAGAGCATCCACCATACAAGTCCCTGTTAACCCTTTTAACAGAGGCCAAAAAGTGGAATTTCCGCCTGTTTTGTGGGGTTGCCGTGTTCAACATTGCATTTATTTTGATGTCACACTCCACAGTAGTGGTTCATGGCTTATGTGAAAGTAGACAATCAGGGCTTTAAGAATTTGCAGGGTTTTTATATATATATATATATATATATATATATATATATATATATATATATATATATATATATATATATATATATATAT